TCAGTGTCTGGGCAATGGATAGATACTACTATTCAGTCAGATAAGGAAAAGGGGAGAGTGTGTTTTGAGAAGGTGAAATACACTTGATCTTAGCCAAAAGGCCAAGAAATGATAAGAGGGTGAAGTAATCATTTTGATTCTGGACAGACTGAGTCTGAGATGCAGGGAAGTTACTCAAATGATGGTATCCAATAAGCAGCTGGGTATATAACAACTCAAGACAAGGTTTGGGTCAGAAATATAGATTTTAGTAAATGATAACTAAAGCAATTGAGAATAGATGATATTGCCTGGGGAGAATGTACCTTATGAGAAGAAAACCTAAGACAAAACGCCATGGAGATTTAGAAGACAGAGTTAGGAAGAGTAGACCAAAAGAGACCAGCCAAAAAGGAAGATGAACATATTAATATGAGGAAAGGGAGTAAGCACTTAATGAATGCTTGCTATGTGCTAGGTGTTGTGCTAAATGATTTATGTGCACTACTTTACCTAATCCTTCAACACTCTATGAGCAACCTAATATTATTAATCTGCATCATTACAGATGTGGATACTTTAGCTTAGAGAGATCAACTTGCTCAGGTTTACACATTGCTCAGGTTAGGTTTAAGAAGTGCAACCAAGATCACATCAAGTCCTCTAGAGTCCTTGTTCTTAACTGCCTCACTGTACTGCTTTTTAGGAAAGTCTTAAAAAGCGTGTTATCACAGACACAAAGAAAAACAGTATATCAAAAAGAAAGACACCATCCCAGCAGCAATGAGTTCACCCAGCAGCACCAAGATCTTGGTTTCTAATATTTTCCATTAAGAGGAATCAGGACTCTCTGGAAAAATGGCTGATCTGAGGAGTGGGCAGGAAATATGTAAAATGAGCCTGGAGCATCTTGTAGTGCTAAAAAGTAAGAGTTCAAAACCAAACCAAACAAACAAAAAAAGAAAAAACCCACGACAAGGTACATAAAGTCAAAGGAACAGAAAACCAATTGAAAGCTTCCAACGGCCACAGTTGTAATAAGCAGAAAATTAAGTAGCATTGGACTATATAACCCAGAGTATAAACTAAAATCATCAGTCCATACGAATATAAATAAAGCAGTAAATAAATAAATAAGAGAGACAAATCTAGGGTGCAGAAGAATTCCAAATAATGATGTAGATACTTCCTCTTACAGAGGTAGAACAACCTCTCCATTGCTCAAACATGGGCTCCACATAATGACTTCCTTTCAAAGACTACAGTATGGAAAGGGGGAGAGGGGAGAGAGTCACTGTACAGTACAGAAACATGACAAATGCTACCTCAGCCAAGTGATAAAGGTTCACAGAAACAATGATAAGCCAGTTAACAGTATAGACCTTTGATATGCTGTGATGAAAATGGCACTTTATCTCTGTGGTTTTTCTCTCAAAAACTCATGACCCTAATCTAATCATGAGAAGCACATCAGAAAAATCCCAACTGAGGGACATTGTACAGAATCCCTGAAAATTACACCTCAAAGCTGTTATTAGAAACACAGAAAGCCTGAGGTACTGTCACAGCCAAAAGGAGCCTAAAGATGATGGTCATGAAATGTAATGTGGTATCCTGATAGCTCTCCTGGAACAAAGAAGAACATTAGCTGGTACGACTGGGTAGCTCAGTGGCTGAGCATCTGCCTTTGGCTCAGGGCATGATCCGGGGTCCAGATATTGAGTCCCACATTGGGCTCACCTATGAGGAGCCTGCTTCTCTCTCTATGTCTCTGCCTCTCTCTCTGTGTCTCTTATGAATTGAAAAAAAAAATAGCTAAAAACTAAGGAAATGTGAAGAAGTATGGACTTCTGTTAATCAACATATGTCAGTTTTCATTTATTAACTGTAAAAACCGTACTAGCCCAATATAGGATGTTAACAGTAGGGGTATGGAAACCAAGGAGTTTATGAGAACTCTCTGTACCATCTTTGTAATTTCTCTGCAAATCTAAAACTATTCTAAAATTAAAAATTATTTAAAAAAACAAAGGGGAAAATTTTGGTTTCAGTGTATTAATGGAGCCAAAATTAGATTTCATCGGGCAGAGGGGTAATCCAAAGCTAAGAATGGGATTATAAGTGTATAGTTTCTTCCAAGAAGTCTGACAATAAGGGGGAGATCAAATCAGAGCTGGAAGTAGACATCAAGTTAAAGAAAGTGGTTGGGGGATCCCTGGGTGGCTCAGTGGTTTAGCGCCTGCCTTTGGCCCAGAGCGCGATCCTGGAGTCCCGGGATCGAGTCCCATGTCGGGCTCCCGGCATGGAGCCTGCTTCTCCCTCCTCCTGAGTCTCTGCCTCTCTCTCTCTGTGTCTATCATGAATAAATAAATAAAACCTTAAAAAAAAAAAAAAGAAAGAAAGTGGTTGTTTGAGTGTTTGGGTTTTTTTTTTTTAAATAAAGGTATTATTCAAATACCAAAAATTCACCTTTTAAAGTGTACAATTCAGTGGTTTCCAGTATTTTCACCAAGTTGTATAACTATCACCACTATTTACTTCCAGAACATTTTCGTTACTTCAAAAAGAAATGGTATAAGCAAAGAAAATCTAAATATATAAAATAGGGTCACAGATAACAAGAGTTCACATTGTTAAGATGTTAATAAAACCAAAGTAATTTACAGATTCAATGCAATATCTATCAAAATTCTAACAGTCCTTTTCACAGATATTGAAAAGCTGATCCAGGCAGCCCGGGGGGCTCAGCACCGCCTTCAGCCCAGTGCCTGATCCTGGAGACCCGGTATCGAGTCCCACGTCGGGCTCCCTGCATGGAGCCTGCTTCTCCCTCTGCCTCTCTCTCTCTCTCTCTCTCTCTCTGTGTGTGTGTGTCTCTCATGAATAAATAAATAAAATTAAAAAAAAAAAAAGCTGATCCTCAAATTCATGTGGAATTTCAAGGAATCCTAAATAGCTAGAACAATCCTGAAAAAGAAGAATAAAGTTAAAGGGTTCACAATTCTCAACTTTGAAATTTATTACAGAATTACAGTAATTAAAACATTATGGTACTGGCATATGGACACACAGACCAAGGGAAAAGGATAAAAAGCCTAAAAATAAACCCTCACATATATAGTCAATTGATTTTTGACAAGGGTGAGAAGACCACTCAGTGGTCAAAGGACAGTCTCTCAACAAATGGTAATGGAAAAACTTGAATATCCATATTCCAGTTTGACTCATATCGTATACAAAAATGAACTCAAGGGATCCCTGGGTGGCGCAGCGGTTTAGCGCCTGCCTTTGGCCCAGGGCGCGATCCTGGAGACCCGGGATCGAATCCCACGTCAGGCTCCCGGTGCATGGAGCCTGCTTCTCCCTCTGCCTGTGTCTCTGCCTCTCTCTCTCTATCTGTGTGACTGTCATAAATAAATAAAAATTAAAAAAAAATTAACTCAAAATGGATCAAAGACCTAACAAACTAAAACTATAAAATTCTTAAAAGAAAGCATTGGGGAAAACCTTTAGGACACTGGATTTGGCAACCATGTCATGGATATGACATGAAAAACACTGGCAACAAAAGAAAAAAATAGATGAACTGGATTTTAGCAAAATAAAGAACTTTGGCACATCTAAGGAGACTATAAAGACAGTGAAAAGACAACCTACTGCATAGAAGAAAATATTTACAAATTATCTCATTGGAAAAACTGAAAAGCATTAAGGCTTGTGGTATCTCTTTTACTGTCTCATAACACATACTTAAATTCTCAGAATAATTCTACAGACTTTATTATTAAGCTAGACCTTTTTATACTGAAATACAGACTTCTCTAGTCTTCTCTCCAGGGCATATACTCTTTCAGGAAATTGTTTCATAGCTATCTGTATTATAATGACATGTATTTTGTTCCTACCTTTAGTAATGAAAAATTTCAAACATATATAAAGGAAGAGAGAAAGGAATAATGAAACCCCATAAAGCTATCACCCAGCATAAAGAATTTAACCAATTCATAGTTTTATCTATAGTCCGACCCACTTTACTCTTCTTCCCCCAGTAGATTATTTTGAAGCCAATCCCAAACATCCTATCATTTCAACTATAAATATTTCAGTATGTTATCGCTATATACTAAAAAATACTATTGAATTTTGACATACAGCAAGATACAGTGTCTTGCATAAATTCTTGTACTGCTACGTCAGACTCCTGATATAAGCATTCCTTCAGTAAACTATATATTAGATAGAGGAATTCCAGGAAGTAGGGCTATCAAACAAGAAAATCAAGAAAAAAGTGGCTTGAACAGTTTCAATTGTAAGAGGATTATTTATCAAAGCTAGTCTTAGAGGCACCTTGGTGGTTCAGTTGGTTAAGCATCCAACTCTTGATTTTGGGTCAGGTTATGATCTCAGGGTTGTAAGATCAAGCCCCATGTTGGGTTTTGTGCTGAGCATGGAGCCTGTTTGGGATTCTCTCTCCCCACTCTCCCTCTGCCATCCCTCCCACTCTTCCCTCTTTCTCACACATGGGCTCTGGCGCATGCACACACACACTCTCTCCCTCAAAAAAAAAACCAAAACAACAACAACAAAAAACAAACGGTGGTTTTAAAGACCTCTTAGGAAAGAGATGGACAAAAGTAACACAAATACCACACACACTCTCAGGGGTGCCTGGGTGGCTCAGACGCTTGGTTAAGCATCTGCCTTTGGCTCAGGTCATGGTCTCAGGGACCTGGGATCAAGCCCCACATAGGGCTCCCTCCTCCCCCTGCTTGTGCTCTGTCTCTCAAATGAATAATAAAAATCTTTTAAAAAAAAATGCCACACACTCTCTCTCATCCTCTGTCTCCCCCCACCTCTCAGAACTTTCACAGGATACAAGTTATTTGATATATGATAACACAACACAGTAATATTACATAATTGTTATTATATATAAAGTAATACACGTTAGCTGCATACTCTATAAAACAAATGCAATAAAAGTAGCTCAATGCAGAAAATTTCAATTCATCTGTCCTTACCTTTTGTTGGACTGAGATTCTGATCTATAAATCCTCTTAGTTCTGCATTTGTAGAAGTCAAACCAACCTGAATCAAATAGTTTTAAAAATTAAAAATAGGATCTTAAGAATTACATGATCATTTAATAAGCTATTTTATACTTCCTACTGAAGAACCATGTCAAATAATATAGATAGCCACATAAAAATAAATTAACTATATCATCAATATAAGTAGAATTACAAAGAATACATTGTTTGAAATGGGAAAACATGTCTCTCTCTCTCTCTCTCTGTCATAAATAAATAAATCTTAAAAAAAATGAAATGGGAAAACATGAACTGTCCAAATTAAGATAAAAATTATGAAATAATGTTACTTGTGTACAGAATTGAAATCTATAGATTTTACTGATATTTTTTTGAAGGCAAGTTAATGTGGCAGCAGTCAAGTTGCCAATAGATATACCAAAATTCCACCTTCATGATGCCCTTAATTTTTGCTGTTCATAATTGCTGCCTATAGTACTTTTTTTTTCTATAATACTTTTCAACATTATAATATGTAATAGATCAGGTAAAGGCCATTAATACCACACGACAGAGGTGAGGTCTACTGGTCTCAAATTCAACTGCTTGAATTCATACTCTGCCTCACCAAGGCTACTAGATGCATGGTCATGGTCAAGTCACACAAGCTCTCTACACCTCAGTCTCCTCTAATATAACTGAAGGGTGTTAGAAATGTTTACCAGTTTAAGTTATCAGAAAGATCAATATAATTCTTGTAAAGCATCTAGCACAGTATCTGGCACAAAGTGCTTAAATATGTTAACCTTACTATTAATATGATACTGGAGGGACTATTTATAGCAAGTGTGTTTGTAAATTCACCTTTAGACCATTTATTTCATTTAATGTGATAGCCACTGGACTTCTTGGAATCATAGAGTTAAATGTGATAGATCATCAGAATTTTAAAAAATTTATTATAGAGCCAGGAGGAAAAAAACTTGACATAAAGCAAGATTCCAATAAATTATTCTACTATTACTATTATGTTATTGTTTTAATCCTTGTAGATTTATAATCTTCAAATATCAATGCTAACTTGGTATCTCCAACATCCTTTCAAAGTTCTAGCACATCAAAAAGGTTTTAAAGCACAGAAAGCTTTATAACTTTGTATCTGTGCACTTAATGTTGTTTTTAAACTATCCACTGCAGCATTATATATTCTTCATTAGCACTCCTTTGATACTTTACAATTTCATAATGTAAGAGCTAATTATTTCATTATTTAGTAATTCAAATGCACTACTAATAGCTATTTCTTTTTGTCAAGAGATACGTTACCAGAAATATTTCTACATATCATTCACATCATGGAAAAGTAATTCTGATGCAAACCTATCTCTAGCATCTAATACTGAATTTTTATGACAGCAGCTAAGTGGAAGATATCTAAAATGCAGCTTCTCAATTTTTTGTAGACAATGGTGCAGATACTTAATTCTATCTAGCTTCTTATAAGTATGCTATTAGAAAAAAAATAAGTATGCTATTAGAAGTACTCGTTGCAACAAACTACCACCATAAGAATTGCTTACAAATATTAAATGTTAAGTGTTCAATTTGTAAATGCCAAGAGTTTACTGTGGCATCTACTAACATGTCTCCTTAAAAAAAAAAAAACAAAAAAAAAACCTTTTCTGCTATAAGAAGACAAAACTTTCATTGGAGTTCTACTTTAGAAAGAAAGCAAAGAAGGCAAAGACAGCTTTTAATATTCCATGCTTAATACACTATGATCACTTAATACATGTATTAACAATAATTTCAAAAGCATCAGATTATACTCTTTGTTATTATACAAAGATAACGGCAAAAACCTCAACTGAAACCACATATTCACAGTGGAGAGTTCACAGTTACTGGGTTACTGTTATGTTTAAACACCTGCTCTTTTAATGGCCAACTTCTGCAGAGTGAGGCAAGGAATGAATTTGGAAACATTTTAAGCAGCAGTACATCTGCATCTTAATAACCAACAAATTATACTCTAAAAAGATAAAGGTCAATTTTGAGTCAATACTATATGCTAATTTTGGTCCAATAGGTGGAGAGGAGGTGTTTTTTAGAGTTTATATAAATACTACTAAAATTAAAATTTCAAAAATTTATTAATCTCTGCTTTCATAAACACTTTATAGTTTAAAGACAAAGAAAAGATTACTCAGGTATAGAAAAAGTAGAGAAGGAAAGGCATTTAGAAACAACTATTCTTTCCTTCTACTATTTAAGAAGAATATAATAATAATAATAGTTCACAGACCTAAAAAAGTGAACTCATTTTATGTAAAATTTTTCACCTAATAAGGTCCTGAGAAAAGTTTTCTATTTGGATATTCAAACACTGTGTTGTATACTGCAAGCAGTCACTAAGTGTCTGTAGAATAAAAAATATCCAAGACCAACTTTAAGACTCAAACCATATTTCCCATTAATAACATTATAATTTTACTGACATTTAACATTTTAGATTGACAAAACTGAAAGAAAACAAGATTCAGAGTGAGATGATCTATACTCTAAGTTCAGCTCTGCATTCACAAGCAAGGTGATCTTGGAACAGTCACTGCTAAACTGAGAGGATAATACATATGTGCATGACAAATTCAGAGAGCTTCTTAGATCAAATTAATTAATTATGTGAATATGATAGTGACAAAGCAATACTCAAGTTATTCAAATGGTAATGCTTTTAACTCTTCTGACAATTCACAAAAGAGAGATGCAAGTGACCAATGAACATATACAATGTCAGTTTGACCTAACTAGTAATTGGAGAAATGAATAAATTACATACCATTTTTTTTTTGCTGATTACATTGGCAAAGATTAAAAAGAAAATAAAGGGAAATGGCACTTTAATTCACTACTGATGAATATATAAATTAGTGTAACCTTTCTGAAATGCAGCTTAGCAACATAAAACAAAAGCCCTCCCTCACCCAAAGCATAGCTCTTTGGGCCACTAATTTCATAAGATTTTGCCTTATGGAAATAATCCCATGAGTAAGTAAAAAGAAACAAAGAGCAAAAAAAAAAATAAGGGAAATAATGTATAGTTAACATCAGGAAACTGGTATAAATATGTCCATACAGCAGATAACATAAAACAGTCATTTAAAGTGATGTTGCAGAGATACCGAGACAAGAAAAGACATTTGTCATAGAGATTAAACTAAATATTAGGTTATAAAACAGTATGACCTCATTTTTATTAAAAATATATACATACATTTTGTTATACACACACACACACACACACACACACACACACGTATATATACCAGATGTCTTCCTAGGCAAAATTCTGCTGATAATCTCTAGGCTAGTTTCTTTATCTGTATTCTCTAATTTTTCTGTAATGAGTATCATGGTTTACATATTTTTTAAAAGATGCTTGACGAGGCAAAAAATACATGTCAAATTACCTTTCAAGATTCTTTATTGTACACTGAATGAGCTGAAGTCAGAACACACCTGCATTTGTGGTCATGAAGAGTAATCAATGGATACTAGAGACTATTTGACAACAATTTTATCCCAGAAACAATGGATTTACTGCCTGCTCTATAGACCTTCCTTTTTGCAAAATGATCTATCCCACAATCCATGTAGCTCTAGTATGACTGTTAATCTTTGGGCCTCAACCGTGCCATGTCAGCAGAAGTGGACTCATGACCAGGACATGCCCCACTTCTTTCTCCACACTGGCTTGTCTAACATGTGGGCCAAGCAGGGCCAATCAAAGTTCCTCTGTGGACTTGAAATATAAATGCCAAAAAAGGGAAAGTTCCTTCTCTCCTACTGAGGTAAGAATTGTAAGGACAATATAGGGCATTTTGCTACCATATAGAGAAAGCCAAGAGATGGAAAAAGGAACACAAATCCCTCCCTGACACCACCATTCAGTCTCCTCAATTCAGATGTGTTTGAAGCCAGAGTACCCCAGACTCTTTAGTTGTGTGAATAAATATATTACATTTTTTGCCTTAAGCTCTTTTGAATAGGGTTTCTATCATTTGCAATCATGAGACATACTAAGGCATGGGTAAGACAAAAACAACTCTTCACAAAAAAACTGTCCTCATACGAGATATGTAAAATGAGAAACAGAAAATAAGAGAATAAATAATTGAATATATGTTTAATGATGTCTCTATAAGACCTCGGCAATCTCTTCCATGTCTAAGAGTTTTTCTTCTCAGTGTCATGTGACACAACTGATCACTCCCTCCTTCTTAAAACACTTTACTTGGCTCCAGGTCATCAGGATAACACTCTTTCTTTCCTTTCCGGTCTTTTTTTGAGTCTCTTTTGCAGCTTCTCCCCAGATGTTAGAAAATCCCTGTGCTCAGACCTTGGGTCCTCACGTATACTCTATCCATTCATGTCCTATATACTCTCATGAGTACCACAGCTTTAAAATAACTTAATATGAAATGACTCCAAAATTTCCATATCCAATTGCAACCTTCCTCCTAAGCTCCAAAGTCATTTACCAAATTACCTACCCAATATCCTCACCTGGACATCTTTAGGTCAATCTTAATATGTTCAAAATGATTGTTGAATTTGCCACAAAATCCCACAGTTCCCCAAGAGTTTCTCTTCTCATTAAACAGCATAGCCCTTTATCCAGTTACACAAGCCAAATACTGAGAAGTTTTCTTTAATTTCTCCCTGCCTCCATATCCTAATTACTCAGTAACTCCTGATGTCTGTCCTTTCAAATACAACCTAGATCCAGCCACTTTTCCCTATCTCCAATATCATTACCTCAGCCCAAATCATACTCTGCTGTCTGAACTACTGAGACAAGTGCCAAATGAGTCTGCTTCTACTATGCCTCTCTTCAGTCTATTCACTTAGCAGCCAGGACAAACTTTCTAAAACAGTAAGTCAGGTCATGCAACTATTCCATCAAATCTCCAGTGGCTTCTTAGTGATGTTTTAAATACATACCCATCACCCAGTCTTTGAGGCTCCACATAAGCTGGCTCCTGCTTTCTTTCTTACTTCATCTCCTACCACTCTTCCTTGCTTACTCTGTTCTACTTATAAACCGGTCATCTTGCTGTTCCTTGAACAACTACACCGTTTTTTGACTCTACCTGAAATGTTCTTCTCCCAGATACTTGTATATCTGACTTCCTCTTCTTGGATTGAGACTCAAGAGCATTTCTGTCTAAAAGTAATTTCCTTACAGAGAACTCTTCTGAACACATAAATTGAAAGAGCTCTCCCTCTTCTAACTTGTTTTATTTATCTTCATGACATTTACCATTGCCTGACATTATATATGTACTTACTGTCTTCTCTCTCTACAGACACTATAAGCCCCAGGAAGCCAGAAGCCTAGAACAGTATCAGGTACATATATTGGGGGCGGGGAAGAGAATGAATTGCTCATGGCATTGTGAACTAGTATAATCTTTTCAGTAAGTATCCTGACAAAGCATATTAAAAGCCACAAAAATGTTCTTCTCTATTGTAGAATGGTTAGTGATTTGACTGGTTACTTTCAGACAGCCTATTTCAATTCTTTCCCACATGCATCAGCTCAGCCCAATCTGAGGTTTGACCTCTTCATGTCCCTAACTCTATATCAAAAGAGGATCAGCTCATCACTTATCCTCTCCCGAGGTTGCCAGAGCAGAAAGAGAAACGTATTTCTCACTGTTTGATTTCTTCCAAATATACAAACAAAATAATGGGAGTAGGATTACCATTGGTTCAAATGCCTTTAGGGAAACAACTTTTAATACAGAGCAAACTGTACATATGACTAGGAAGATGATATTTGACTCAAGGTACATTTTGAGCCAAAATAGCTTGCTATTTGAATGTTAACCATCTTGTGGTTCAAGATAACTTTTACCTCCTTTTTTTCCTAAGGAGAAAAAAATTAAGATAATATCCTGCAAAAAAAAAAAAAAAAAAAAAAAAAAAAGATAATATCCTGCAAGAAAATTCCCAATACACAGACTAAAACTTTGCTTCTTCTTTTCCCCAAATAGCACTTTAACAAATATATATAACAGCTGTAAATTAAAGCAGAGTATTCCTGATAATTTATTCTAACAAAAATAGTTAAATGATAATGAAGCAAAATCTGTATCTGCTTATAGCATGTCATAAGCAAGGTTAATAATAGAAAAATAGATAAATCAAGAAGGGTTTTTTTATGTTATTCTTTAGACGCATAATGGACAGTATTTGGAACTATGTCTGGCTGATAAGGAGACTTTTCACACAATATAATGCTTGCTTCTCCCAGTCACAATTAAATAAACCACTAGTAGATACCACACTTAAACAGTGCCAGAAGTCGGCCCCAAGAAGTCTGAAATTGGAGCTGACATGGGCAGACAAGCCTGACATGGATCTGTCAAGCTGCCTTCCTCCTTTTCTTTGCACCTCTCTTTCTCTGAACAGGCTGGTTCTGTAACACATACATTGAGATGCTGCCTGGAAATCTAAGGAGCATGATTTACAGAGAGAGACAGAATATTAAGCAGCTGCACACAGATAAGCAGAGATAATAAACGGAATATAAATACTGCTTCAATTCCTGGTACATTTCAAGTTCTTGCACCCAGATCTTTCTGAGGGCCCACTAAATTCCTACTCTTAAACTCTATGAAACATTCCTGGATCTTTATAATAAATTCCCTTTTTAAGGGAGCCTAAGCTGATTTCTGTTACATGTAACCAAAGACTCCAACAGCATAATCTGGGAACAGTAAAGCCATGATAAGACATTTCCCTATATGTTTTAGTATTTATTTACTGGCATAATCCTTCACATAACTGGAAACAAATCTACTGCTACAGTCTGACAATAAGAATGTAACTTGAAAGGAAGCAGAGTCAGAAATAACAGCCTGAAACAGAGGAAACAAACTGAGTAACTTCTCCAAAACACTGAAAATCTAATGTCTCCTCAGGAACCATCTCATGGAAGACAGCAAGCTTCTTTGGAACAATATCTCAGTACACATATTTCCTTAAGTAAATCCACAAGAAAAAAACTGGGCCAAAGAAAACAGTGATTTTCTCAATAAGGCTAGTAAATCTCCAGCAACACCAAAACAAATTTATTACAGTACCAAAAAGGAGAGGGGTGGGAAACTTTCTAGAGATAGTAATTTTGTAGCTATTGAGAAGGTGCAAGTTGGCAGCAATTTACAAGAATGCTACAGTGCCCATTCGAGGGCTATGTTCAATACCATTTAAGTTTAGTATCTCATTCTTTGCATAAACAAAAACAATCATAAATTAATGCCAGTACATTGAACTTGATTAATTAGAATAGTGAAGAAAATATGCATTGGAAAAAGTACAACTCACTTTAAAAATACTTACATTTAAAAATTTACAAATACTTACATTTTTTGCCGTCATGTCAAATTGTATTCAATTTAAAATTCTGTAAAGCCATTAAAAAACAAACAAAAAAACAAAAATAAAAAAAACTTCGTCTTCAACAATTCTTTAAAAGAACATCCTGTTAAAGGGGGGAAAAAGAGGGAATAGTAATGTGATAACAATAATAGGCAATGTTTATGTCATATTTACCCTGTGATATGCATTGTTCAAGTGGATTATTTAAGTTAATCCTCACAACAACACTATCAGATATGTACCATTTTAATCTGCATTTTCTAAATAAAAACTGGGGCTTACAGAGATTAAATAATTTGACCAAATCAACTGAGCTAACAAGTGATAAAACTCAGGCTCTGAAATATCATACTATGTTGCTTTAGATAACACACTGAAAGAAATAGCCAGTACCAGGGTTGAGGCAAGAGAGGTTCAAGATAAGACTAGAACATTTTATTGTACCTACAGTAAGGAAGAGCTCAAAAAATGATGGAGACATATCAAAAGTATACAGGAGTCTGCTGAAAGGGCCAACAACTGGACAATTTGGAAAAACTGAGCACACTGATACACTGTTCAGTGTATCACTGATACACACTGATACAAACTCTTTGAATAAAAGAACAATCCAGGAATTCATACTGATAGAAGCAAATAATGAGGAAGAAGGGAAAGCTCTTCTTTGCAATATGATACCAAATAGTAAATATAAACAAATAATGCAATTAGAAAGCTACCAATTTATAAACATCACAGTAGTAACTGATAGACAAGGATTATCAAGAGATACTAAAGCTTTAGTGGGTGAAAGTGGTAATAAAAAGGATATTTACATAGTCTTGAAATATCATCCCACAAAATACCTATTAATTCAAATTTTACAGTGAAGAAACCTGGCACACAACACTTAGCCAAAGTGATCAAGCCTACCAAATGACCACCAGCAATGACACAAACCAGCATCATGCATCTCTACAAATGCACTGAGATGGATACAACACCACTTCTGAGATATTTCTGCCCAAAGCATAATGTAAATCTAATCATGAGAAAATATCAGAGAAATTTGAATTGAGGGGCACTGATTAAAATAATGGACTGAACTTTTAAAACATTTTTGTGTCATGAAAGAAAAAAGGAACCTGACAAACATTCCAGATTTAAAAAGGCAAAAGTCACATAAAAATTATATTCAACACATGACCCTTGACTAGACTCTGGACCAGAAAAAAATAATTGCTGTGAAGACCATTACTCTGGCAACTGGAAAAACTGAAATACATTACACACACTGGTTAAGAGTATTGCTTTAGCGTCCATTTCCTGCTTTGATCAGAAGGCTGTGGGGGTTTTTAAGTGAATGTTCTTGTATTTAGAAAAAATACACCAAAATATTAGAAGTACAGAGATATGATAGCAGCAAGTTACTTTCAAACGATTAAAATATATATATAATCTGTATACAGAGAGTAGGAGTGATGATGCAAGTGTGGCAAAATGCTGGCAATTGGATAATCTGGGTAAAGTGTATTCAGGAGTTCTTTGCCCTATTTTTGCAACTTTTCTCTTATCTCACAATTATTTCAAAATTAAAACTTTAATAAGACTTTCAAAGGGAGGGAAAAAGTAAAACTTAATTTTGAAAAGATCATAAACAATAGGGCTTGAATAAGTGGAGGCACTGTTTGCCTCATATACTACAATCTGATTCTGCAAGTAAAACTTTGTGGTTGAAAAATATGTATCTTTACTTTTCAATAAAACACTGAACTTCTAATTTTTCAGGTGCCTGGGTGACTCAGTCAGTTAAGCATCTGACTTTGGCTCAGGTCATGATCCCAGGGTCCTGCAATAGAGCTCTGAGTTGGGTGGCCCCCTCAGCAGGGAGTCTGCTTGTCCCTCTCCCCCTGCCCCTCCCTTTATTCCTGTGGGTGCGTGCACACTCTCTCTCTTAAAAATAAATAAAATCTTAAAAAAAAAAACCACCTGAATTTACAATATTTTTTTTACTTTTTAAATGTTATTTTTTTATATTTATTTATTTATGATAGACATAGAGGGGGGAGAGAGAGAGAGAGAGAGAGAGAGAGAGAGAGAGAGAGAGAGGCGCAGAGACACAGGCAGAGGGAGAAGCAGGCTCCATGCAGGGAGCCCGATGTGGGACTCGATCCCGGGACTCCAGGATCGTGCCCTGGGCCAAAGGCAGGCGCTAAACTGCTGAGCCACCCAGGGATCCCCTGAATTTACAATATTTCAATGATAAAGAAAACACTAAAAAAAACCCAAATAAGACCTGGACTACCACTATGATTTTCACTGTCTCATGGTAACTGTAGATTTGTTCACAATGTCTAAAATGATCTAATACGAAAATCAAGTTCCTTTGCTAGAACTGTTTTGCATTCATCAACTATTTGTTATTCTCTTCAGTATTAAAAATATCAGATAAATAAGAAAGCGCAAGTTCCTGACATCCCATTCACTAAAACCTAACATTTTAAAACTAAGAATTCAAGATATGAGTATCTCCTTTTGAAGATTAATATTTTAGCCAAGCTTGATTTAAGCACAGAACTCTTACCTAATAGGTAAAAAACAGCTCTTTAAGCACATATTTACAAAATTTATCCACACATAATCACCAACAAAGTAGTACAAATTTCAAAGAGGCAATATTACACAGATTACGGTCTCTGACCACAACACAAATTAGGAATCAACCATTTTAAATAATCAGTTAAAAATCATATATTTAAAAATAAAAATATATTAAACAATCCATGAATTAAAGAGATAAATGTAAAATATTTATAACTGAATGACAGTGAAAATAATAAAACTGGCTGGCTTAGCTGGAAGACAATGCAATGTTTGATCTCAGGCTTGTGATTTTGAGCCCAACATTCGGTGTAGAGATTACTCAAAAATGAATAAACAAATAAACTTATAAAAATAAGGAAGAAAATAATAAAACTTGCAAAGTGCAGCTGAAGTAGCACTTAGAAGTAAATTTATATTTCTCTTCATTCATGAAGCAATCAACTTAAAAGATTAAAGTTGATTAAGCAATCAACTTAAAAGATTAGATCAGTGAGAACTCGAAGATACAAGCAAGGAGCAAGAATTAATTATTTAAATAGAAACAATTAAAATAACCATTGGTTCTAAGTGTCCTGCTTGAAGCAGGCATCTAATAAATAAAGCAACAGTGTTAGCAGAGTGAAAAGGACATGGATTTTTACATTTAGGCTCTATCTCAGCTCTGACATTTATTAGCTGTATAACCTTGAACAACTGACTTAACCAACTGCTTTGAGCTTCAGGGTCCTCATCTGAAATAAAGGTATAGTGAGTCTTTCAAGGTGATGTTAGCAGTAAATTCAATACAATCTCTCTTAATGAAAATCATCAGATCTTCCAAGTCAATGTGTCAAATGTCCTACAGTTTACACATAAACACTGAACACTCCTAACCACAAAAACTTCAATTTTAAATATTTCTAAGGTTACCTTCTGACCTACTGAGATGGAGTTATAACAATAAAAAACAAAAGTGTTTTCCATCAAAGTCTCTGTTATATTTTAGAAACCTGCTGTATCTATTTAAGGCAGATAACTGTTACCTACCTAGTACCTTTTCCTCTTCTCAGAAGAAGTGGAAGGCGGCAATGTGCCCACTAAGAAAAAGTACTACATTCTCAGTCTCCTTTCAGATGTGCTGACCATTTATATAATTCTGGTTGATGAAATATAAGCAGATATCATTGGGCTGGGCTACCAAATTCAGCTTGTAAATGTCCTTTTTCCCTTCTTCATTACAAAGTCATTGTTAAAGTTGCTTTGTCTCCGTACATCTGCTTGATTACAATATTCAGTATTCAATATGGTATTCTATTTCTTAATGGCTGGGCTATTGAGTGACACTGTGATAGTTACCCAAATTAAAAAAAAAAATAGTTAACAGTGTTAACTATTTCAGCACACAATAGCAAGTGGTAATCAATAAAATACTGCTTAGCCACATTAATGAGTCTGACAAAACAAAACTTAATTTTGTTCAGCACTCCCTTTGTATCCTCTCATCAGAGCCAAGTACAAATGAGAACCTCTAAATGTTACCTAAATGTAAATGTTTGAAACAGAGCCAAAGCGCATGGATTTCTTGAGTAAATTTACTTTAACATCTTTATGCCTCAATTTCTTAATCTACAAAACAGTAACAAATAGTACATCTAATTAATTAAATGAGTCAAGACATAAAAATTTATTAGGACACTACCTAGCACAGTGTAAGCCCTCAATGTTAGGGAAAAAAGCAATTTGCTGTTTTTTTTTTTTTTAAGACAAATTAAGGTTTCTTTTTCCAAAATAAATAACACATAACTCACTCATATGTAGTTGAAGTAAAAAATACCAGATCACAAATCTAGTTTTAAAAGGAAATAAAGTGTCTAATTATGGTTAGGAAAAACTTTTGTAAAATTAAGAAAGTAGGCTATAACTTTATTCTTTAATTTATTCATCCAGTAAGCAATGAACACTCACTATGTGCAAGGCACTAATCTGGGCACTGAAGACATCTTAGTAGATGAGAGAAACAGCAAGCATAAACCTTCAAAGGTAATTTAAATTATGTAAAGTTACATTAAAAGAAATGGGGGGGCAGCCCAGGTGTCTCAGAAGTTTAGCGCCACCTTCCGCCCAGGGCATGATTCTGAAGACCTGAGATCGAGTCCCACATCAGGCTCCCTGCATGAAGCCTGCTTCTCCCTCTGCCTGTGTCTCTGCCTCTCTCTCTCTCTCTCTCTCTCTGTGTGTATCTCATGAATAAATGAATAAAATCTTAAAAAAAAGAAAAGATATGGGACTATGACAGATCGCCTCAATCAATTAAAAATGAAGTATGGTTTGAGTGAGAGTTTATAACACACATCTCTAAGTACTTCTAGACTTTTGCTTTTTCTTAACATTGTTTTTAACCTAAAAATTATTTGCAACATACGACATAAAACCAAGTATCTAGAAAGTAAATAAACATGGCACTGAATGTCTCAAAAAACTGCCATTTTTGGTGGCACTGGTGATTCTCAAAGATAAACCAGTCATGTGCACTGATGCATT